CTGGTTGGTGAGAACTGCTGCCTGGTGGCCCCAGATCTCTGGTGCTGGCTGCTCCTCGGGCCTTGACTCACCCGTGGTGCTGCTTCCTTGCACGGTTCCCTGCAGAGTGCTCCTCTGGTGAGCAGGCACACCAGGTGAGCAGGCACAGCTTGCTGCAGGCTTAGGGGAATATTGGTCAGTATTCAGCAATACTTCCTTGCACAGCAGGGTCCAGAAATCCATCTGTTTGTGCTGATCCTGCCCTGCCCCAGGCCCGTCCCAGTTGGACGAGGTTGAATTGGTCAGGTTCCTCTTCTGAGAGCCCCACTGATGTCATCTGTTGCATGCAGCTCTGAGCATCTGAGGTTGGTGAAATTAAATAAGGTGCGAGCATCCTTTGGTCTGTGGCTCTCTGTCTTTAGAACAATTACTCACGGTAACCTTACCAATAGTGTATTAAGGAAAAAAAAAAACCTCCGTAAAAGAACTTAGCGTTGGGATGGAGCTCTGCTTGATATTAGAACAATTACGAAGCAGATGCACCCACTCCAAGCAAAGTGACCTTTTCATCAAGTTGCAAAACATTAAAGGTTAAGGGATGTTTGAAAGGAAGTTAATACTTTTAAAACAGTAGAAAAAAAAATGCCGTTCTTTCAAGACCTGACCGAGCCTGTGGGAAACTTCCAGTCGTAATTTAAGTAACTCTTACAATAGAAAGATGGAAAGTATTTTACACCGTCTGTTTTATTTTAAAATTGGAAGCGCTTTTTTAGAGAAGGAATGGGATTTGATAACAAGATCTAACCCACGGAAGAAACCCACACCGAAGCCGGTTAATTGCGATTTTTAAGTCACGTTTCTTTCTCTCTCCATTGTGTACCGATGACACGAGAACAAAGAGAGCGAATCAATGCCGGTGTCACACTTGCTCAGTTTCCACCTCCTTCCTAACCCGGCCGTGCCAACCGGGACCCGCCGGTGCTCGGTGCATCTCGGCCCTGGGCACGGGCTGATCGCGGAGCCGCTGCTGTCCACGTCTCGCCGCGGTGAGCGGCACCGGGCGCCAGGGGCAGAGCGAGGTCCCTTTGGTGACGGCTGGACGCCTTTTTCTTTTCTTTAGTGTTTTTAAGAGAAACTTGCCTGTCTTAACGCAAACGCTATATGCAAATTAGTAAAATAGCCGCCTAGGGAAGAAGTTTCTGCGGGAAGAAAGGAGGGATCTGGCAGGAGAATCTCCGCGCCGTGCTTTTTCCCGCTGCAGGATGTATCTGGGCACAACCAAATCTCCCTGCCGTGAGGTCACAGGCGCTCTGAAGGGCACGGCCGCGCTTGCCGGGCAGCGCCGACCCCCGGGTGATGCAGGGAGCAGGCGGGGATCCCTTTCCCCCCGCTTCGGCCCCGCCGCTGCCTCCCGCCTCTCCCCAGCGCCGGGGCTGCACGGAGGAGCTCCCCGAGCCGGAGCGGGGCCAACTTCGTGCGGGCGGGCTGCGCTGAGCCCTGTGCGCACAATGGCTGCGGTTGGCACAAGGGGGGTGGGGGGAGTTTCAGGCTCTGTAACTAATTTTCATAAAGGGTTTTCCTGCTGCCCAAGTGAACACATTACGCTACAGTAGCTCTGAATGGTATCGCTCCTTTCCTTCAGAGCAGCGGCTGATTGTTTCTTCAGAGACCCCCAAGTCCTTTTGAAGGGGAAAAAAAAAAAAGAAGTGATAATTCAGCGGGACGGCACCGCGGCGACAGATCTCAGTGCACCCCGCACCGTCCCCAGAAAGTGCTGCTGTGGGCGCGGAGGCGGCGGGCGGGGCGGCCCGGGCCGGGCGGGGCCGAGTGGGGCAGCCCCGACCCCCCCGGCTCAGCGGGCGGCATCAGCCGCGGCTCTCCACGGGCCGCCCAACTTCAGCTCCGGCCGCAGCGGCTGCGGGTCGCGCTCCGGCCCCGTCGGTGCCAGGGGAAAGGCCGCGGGGAGGACCGGGCCGCGCTGCCCCGCTCCGCTGCGCGGTTCTCGCTTTGCTGGTGCGCAGCCCGCGGGGCTCCGAGGAGGGGCGAGTTGGGGCTGAGGGGTTCGCTCCCGGGGCTGGGGGAGCTGCCCGGCCCCCGCCGGCCCAGTTCTGGCGTTCCGGGGTGCGATGCGTGGCAGAACTGGGAAAGTCCTCCGGATAATTTGCAGCCAAAACATCTGGTTCGTTACAGCGCAGCTACCGGACTGAGCCAAACAAACTTTGCTGCTGTGTAAATTCATTTACCCAAACAATTTACATTCAAGCAAAGATTTTAGCCCGAAGAAAAACTTTTATTCATTTGTACTCAGGAGGTTTGGGAATTCGTAGGCATTTAAAAATAATTTTGCTCTAATAAAGTTATGTAGATATTACAAAATGCCTTTGTTCTCTCCTCAGATAATTGCTGCCGCTGTAATGGTTATTGACAACGCTTTGTATTGCACAAAAGCCGAGGATCGTTGTCGGGCGCGGGCAGCCGTGTTCTTAAACAAACTTGGCAGAGGCGCGTCCGTCCCGGCAGCGCCGACGCGCGCCGCTCCTCTTTTGTTCCGCACCGGGCGAAGCCGCAGTGGCCCCCGCACACCCGGGGGGCACCGGGCGCTCCCTGCAGCCGGAGCTGCCAACGCTGCCGCCCCGCTCCGCTCCGCGCCTGCAGCGGGCCGGCTGAGGGCCCGGGCCCGGCACTCGGTGCGCCCCGCAGTTCCCGGCGAACCCCCGCCCTGCTCGGGGCTGAGCCAAGTTGGCGAACTTAGCCGGGGATCCCCGCTGGCCGCTGCCGCGCTGTCCGTGTGCGGGGCCCCTGCGGCTCGGCCGCCGCAGCCGTGCTCGGGGAGCTGCGGAGCGGACGGGCGGTGGAAGGGGCAGCGATGGAGCTCGGGGCGGGCGCGGTGCCGAGCGGGCGGGACGCTGAGCGGGGGTGGTCGTCTGACGGTGGGACTGGGAAATAATCGGTACCTGGCTTCGGAACTGCCGGGAAGGGCGAGCCTCGTGTGCGGAGTCTTTGCAGATAGAGCCCGTGCAGTCATCGATTTTGTGCGTTTGTTTTGTAAGCGTTATGTTTGTAAATGTGACACTTAATACAATTACGGGTTCCGGCTCTCTGAAATAGACCGTGACCCCCGGAGAAGTTAATGCACGTGAAGGACTCCGCGTTTCCAGCTGAAATCCGTCCGATCGGAAGTTCAATAGATTTTTCTTCCTTAAAAAAAGAAGGGGGGAGGGGGAAAGAGTACAGTTACCAACCAAACAGTTCCGCGGCTCGTTCGGGCTGCGAGCGCGGCACGTGTGTGTGCGTGTTTGTGTGCGTGTGCGCGCCCGCTGAGCCGGCCCTGAGCGCGGAGCTGTCTGTATGGGGTCCGAGAGGCTCCTCGGCGGCTGTTCACCAAAATTTGACTTTTTCCCCATGAGCCCCACTGCCTTCCCGGGCCTTAAGAGAGCGAAGCGCACGATTGGAAGCTCGGGGAGGTGAGCCCGGCCGGGGGGAGGGAGGCGGACGGAGAAAAGTTGCCGCAACTCGCAGAGCCCCGAAGTGATGTTCGTCGATTTCCTCGGGATGCTCCTCACCGGCGCACAGAGGGGCAGAGCGGGGCTGCGAGGGCCGAGCGACGCGTCCCCGGGGCTGCGCTCAGCGTTTCGGGGCAATTTCCTAATTTTTGCTTTCAGGAGGGAGGAGGGCAGCGCGAGCTGAGCTCAGCACTAAGCTCTCCGCTTCCACCGCGCTGTCACCGCTCCGGAACGGAACGGGAGGCAGCGCCGATGGGGACGCGGCGGACAGCGGGCCCGGCCCCGCGCACACACGGACACGCGGATGCGGCCGGGACGGAGCCGGGCGCTGCGCTGACAGCTCGCCGCGCTGTTCGCCACAAACGTTTCGTTTCCCCCGGCAGTACCAGGCTCCCGGGCACTAGAGAAGCCGGCGGTTTATTTTTCGCCCTACGCTCCGCATTAAAACCACCGTCCCGTGACCGCCGCCGCTCAGCCCACGCCCCGCGCACCGAACGCACAGCCCGGGGGGCGCGGGGACGCCGCATCTGCACCGTGCGGTGCTTGGAGCCACCGCGAGCGCGGAGCAACGGTGGCGAGCGGAGGTGCTTTTGATCTTACCGTAACACTGAGATCATCTTTTTTTTTTTTTTTTTTTTTTT